GGCCTGGAACTCCAGAAGACTAGCCGGCAGGCACATACGCACGCGCCGTACTCCCAGTGTGCCTACGCTACTGGCACTAGGAGCCTCCTGACTGAAGTTCTCACCTTAGTTCTTCTGGACGAGATCTCGACAGTGACCGTGATCACACACGTACAAAGCAGTTCATGACAGAATAACGGGAGATTGAAAAGGTCTACAGGTAAACACGAATCTCTGACATTCAATAACCTGATGGTAAGGGATGGAATTTCTCGTTTATAAAGTGTGAAGAATTCTCACTTGCGACTTTCCTTCTTGAGTAAGAGAATAAGAGGAAGATCTCAGGCAGCAGTTCGATAGATTGTGATAAGATATCAATGCCACCAGTGCGAATGGCTCTAATCACGGAATTAACACTTCTGTAGTATCTCAATAGCCACTTAAGTCTTATTAATTGGTAGAAGCGGTGTAATGGCTACCCAAAACTTATGAATGATGGCACCACTCAACACTATACGAAAGTCAAGCCCATTGGCTTTACAAATTGGATTGACAAGGAATCACCTAGAGATGGAATATTCAATGTGACTTCCACTAAATATAATTAAGACAGAAAGATCAGTACAAAATCCCACAGACTATGATGATTAGGCACTATCACGTAACCGAACGAAGAAGCTAAAATGTTGCGACAGCGGAAAAGGCCATCCATTCCAAAATGTAAGCACCAATACAACAATCGAGACTTTAAAAAGCCTGAGAAATGACCCACATAGAAACCTTGCAGTATATCTAAACATATCCAAAGAGAATGATTCCCGGGATTTTCTTCATTCTGCATGAGAATTCAAATTGGATCCAGTAACGATGACGATTATTATTTATCTCAAGGAACGTCATCTCCTGTACCCCATTCAAGCTTCAATAGCACCTCTCAAATGACTTTTTTCATACAGCAATCATGCATTGAGAATATGATTACTAAATTGTCTTCGTTCATCGGCTCAAATAGTACCACAGTGAATAAAACCGAGGCACAACGGCATGACGCATTGTTACAACATCAAAAAATTCTACCATCCCCATGTCCAGCCTGCACACAAAAGTAGACTCGTATTTTGAGAGTAAAATTCCAATGTTCTATTCGATTAGGCTGCATGGAACGATGTTTGTAAATGCTTCTACGCGGGCCTTCCCAACTTCTCTTCACGTCAGTAACACGAAGATCGGCCCACACTAGTCCCCCGACCCTTTTGTATTTCAAATAGTGAAGCGACTTCCATATTTGCAAACCTTGGAGCGCCTGCAGGACCAACTAAGGTGCTGTATGAGCGGGACTCATAAAAGTGACTTTATTCCAAATAAACAACCAACATTCTATAGACAACGCGGAGATTCGCAGTAGGAGAGCTACCAGCCTTGTGCTGAAATACTTAACAAGCTCCTCATTAGTTGCATTAGTATGGCAAGACACGATAGCTTACTTCGAGGGATTGAGGAGCGTTGCGGGTAACTGCAGAGACGATGTCCCGCGCCAGTGTCCATGTGATGGTGCCGTGAATAACGAGAATCACCAGAGGAGCGGCGTAGGGGGCTGGCGCCCGCCGACCCACCACCACTCCACTCATTGCTATGAATTTGCTAAAATAAGAAACAGGAAAGGCCTACTGATTAGTTGTTGGTAGAAAGTGATAGACCAATATTGAAGCATGATGAAACTAAATCAAATTGAAGCGTCTTCCTCTTATTAGAGTTCAAGACACTTTCAAATCTTCAATAAGGCAATTTCCCCCATTGATCGTAGCCTAGACCATCTAATATTCCACGTTTTATTGTAATCTCGATGGAATGTTACAATGCACACGACATCGTCAACACTTCGAAGGATAATTCGTTTGCAGGCAATGACGAGATCGGTCTCGTTGACTTCAAAAAAACTTCATGCTTCCACTAATCTGTTATCATTATCTCGCTAGGTGAGCCCTTCCTAACCAAACCAAATTGACTCGCAGACCAGCATATACGCAAAAAACCCAACCACCTTTGAGAAAAGACGAATAAGGGGATAGCTGAACAGCAACCTGATGATGTGTTACCTAAAGCCGAAGTCCATGGACTTGAACCCCCCTCAACCGAGGGATAGAGAAGACCTGATGACATTTCTACTAACACAACCCCAATCGAGTTGAATGATGGCTATAAGATCCTTGAAATATTTCACTCCCGGATCCAAACATCACTACAAACTTGCCGGCGTGGCTTTTGCTAAATTAGCGCATGGTATTAAGCAGTTTTTAGAAAAAGTAGAGCAAATCGACAAAAAAATTTCCGATAGGTGTTAATACCCTCGAAAATTACATCTATGACAAGCTGGTTTTCACAGTTTCTCTAACGAAAAAAAAAACAAACTAGATTTGCCTTCATTTTAGCATATGCCCAAGACCTCAACCCACTTCTAATGATTGAAGGGGAAAAATGAGCGGAAGTAGATAAAACTCCAAAATTTTCCTAGGAACTTAATCCTGTCACTTATCTGTATTGCCAGTCAAATCAATTTGGCCCTCATTTCAGTAGTTATGCAAGATTTAAACTACTTTATAAAGGGAAGGGTGGAGAGGGAGCCGACCTGACATTGGAGAGCAGGGTGGGATCACTGCTATCGGAGGCAGTGGAACCGGCTGCGGAGACGGTGGATCGATGTCGCAGAGATTGGAGCGCGGACGAAGCGGCAGAGGGCTGATGGTGCGCTGCTGTGAGGTCTTTGAACATCTGCACCACCGGCGAGACCAGCTGCGGGAAACCCACGTAGCGTACACTCTCTCTACAGACCACATAAGAGAGAGAATGCATTGAATGAGTGTGCTGCAAGGAGACAACAGATGAAGCACCGCAATTTCGACAATCAGATAAGTCCCCACAACCATCGCTTTTAAGTTTAGCCAAAAAAGCCACCTTATATTCCATTTATTCAAAGACTAAAAACTGTGAATCTTCCATGCTTTCCAGGGATGACATCGACGCCAGTGTTTGTGAGAATCTAAGCACAGCATTCCAACACTTCCAGCCTTAGGATTAATTTGTAGGTCAGATATTTGGCATTAAAATCTTGGAATGTCTGATGCGATAGCCAAAATAGTATTCCGGTATCAGTTTCTTATAACATGGTCAATTTAATGCAATCATTCATAAAGAACTCACTTTTGTAAAAACTGCTTATAGCAAGCAGTACATCAGAGACGACCGTCTAATAGTCAAAATTAAAATGAAAATTGAGCTGAATCTTGCAAGTATCCTCCGCATAGCACGATGTAGAAAACTTAATTGAGCAGGCAAAACTTGCCCATGCAATACCTTCATCAGAACTGTGATTAATGATCAAAATTAGGAGGATCTAGTGCTTTGCCATGCTACCAAAACCGAAGAAAAAGCCTTTACGCTCTCTGAATATCACACACCAGGGTGAGTGCATCTTTTGGAAATAAAAGAAGTACTGAAATCGAAGCAATAGAGATAAGACCTGCAAGAGATGCCTGTACCTCATGCCTTTGTCCTTTAATCCCAGTAAAAATTTTTTCGGGAACAGCCGGTTTGGTAATATTAGCAACGGTACCATGAAAGACGGCAAATTTCGTTTGATTCGGTGAAAATTTAGATCATTTAAGGAATAATAATGGTCACCAATATCCTCCGAGTTTGGTCATTTAAGTCTTCGAAGATAAGGCAAGATCTACACCAATTGAATCAACAAGCCATATCGGAGACGCGTATGTCAGCTTCTGACACCTTTCCACTCCTAATCTGAAAGTCCATTCCAGTAAAGTAATAAAACAGTATATGGAAACTACGAAAAGTGGGCAAAACCCATGTGCATCCAAACCCAAGGCACCAATCCAAACAGGCAGTCTAATGGGCTTAAAATAAGCCTAGTGAATGAAAGCATTCAAAGCCAACTAACCCAAAGAGTTGGACTGGAAATAAGAATTCGTAGGGAATAGACTGCCGACAATGTTCAAATTTTACTTTTGGAGGGAGTCAGGTTAGTAAGATCGCCCGGATGCAAGATTTGAGCCCTGAATCAGGCATAATCAAGAAATGATATCCATTTATCAAATGAATAGTCCGAGGGAATACTTCTACACCATTACAATCGGTTAAAGCCTATCTGATTCCACATGTACTCACGAAAAGCTAGTACTAGCGTTTTAAATAATAAAAACAAGCAAAATTAATGAACAGCCATGAACGATTTTCGCAAATGGTGTACCTAATACTGATTCAGCTGTGGTGGATTCTAGGTGCTAAGAAACTATTTGGAGGTGCTTTTAGCAGCGCTCTCATACATCAATGCCGCCTGTCAGCAGGTAAGGGCACAATCGACTTGAGTAAAGTCAAAAATCTCCATAAAGTGAATTAAATAAAGAACGAGACACACGGGAAGCTGATTGGTAGGTAAGAAGAGGAATTGAGAGGAACTAAGGAAATGCCTTCTTCGATGATAATGTGTCCGTTTAAAGGAGTGGAGTCCGTACAAATTTAACGCCGAAAAGCGCCAAAGTGGCTGCAGAGCAATAAAAAGTAAAAAGAGATTTATTTACATTGTAAAACTGTAAAAGCGACGCAACCTCCAAAAGCATGAGCTTAAACGAAACTATGGAAACTTAGAAGTAATTAGCCAATGTATTCATGTTATTTCAAAAGAATTTCAATGGTAACATAACAATTTTTACCAGGGATTTTCATTAGGTGAATTATGCAGGGTTTAATGAAGCACCACGAGAACTACTTGGCAATTCAGCCTACTCCTCATGACAAAGTAAAGAGCCCTCCTGAGCATAGACAGACAGCACAATCAGATCGCAGTGACAGCAGCTAGCCAGATGATCTACTGGAAGGTTTACATCACTGTCAGAGACTCAACATCAGATGCATACAATATACAAGTGTAGGTGGGAACGCGCCATGGTCATGCAAAGCACTGAAAAAAAAACAAGTTCACGAAAGGAAAGTGCTTGTTGTGAATAAATCATAGCATTTTGCAAGAGGCAGATATCGAAAGTTTGAATATCGGCCAAAGTTAGACTATTTTTAGGCATAGATCGCACCACCTAGAAAAACGCCAAAAAAGAGCATAAAAGAAGCCAGATAATACAAAAGCCTGATTGGTCAATGAATGCACCACGTTATTTGTTTGTTAAACTCTGTTTTGGGAAAGGAGCTCCGCTAATGTACGCTGAGCTCTGGGCCATGCCAGTAACCCCAACATCTCTTCTGTACGCTGCATATGTAGTGTCCCCTCTCGCCTTCAAGAAATTTTCGGGACGCTATAGTGAGAGTTGATTACTGAGGAAATAGCGAAGTACCGATTAAATTTAAGCAAACCCAACTTGTTAAACGGGAAAAAAAGCAATAGCATAATTTTCTAAAACCTTTGATATTAGCAACTCTCCTGACTGGGCTAAGGGAACCGTGTGCATGGAACTAGAATCAAGCAAGGAAATTTCTCGCACAACTCTAATTTCCAAAATCGCTCAATGGTTGGGAGATTTTGATCAATAACAGTCATTTCAAGTAAAAATGTATTTTAATGCCCAACGAAAAGGGTGCTATTACCAGGCTCTGAATAGAAATGTAGCCTGATAAAAGTATTCAAAGCAATGATACAACTAATGAGGCATTGTAACAGGAAAGTCAGGGTAAGCCAGAAATACAGCCTTATAAAATACGAAAATGCCTAGAAAATCACGACAATTTGTTATTCTATGTAAGATCTTTAGGTGCAGCAGCGTTATCTATGGGGGCGATATGTATCAATCGAGTGAGCATTGCCCCGGATGATCGGCCCATCCTCACTGCCTGCTGTAAGTTGCCAGCAAACACGTCATTAGTTTTGTTATGAACATTTAACTCCAGGTTATACTGCGGTACGTTAGTATACCTATCCAAAGTCTGCGAAACCAAGTGCAAAAGATGAACGAACCAAGATATCTCTTTAAAGAATTGTTGAAAGAAATAGCCTAATCGACGAAAAAAAAAAACAGAAAACGCTGATTACTAAATGACAATAGGGTATCGTCGCCGAAACTTATCGCTCGAGGGATCCGTGACCATAACTTATGAGCAAAGATTACCAGTTCAAAAAAAACTACTAGTCGGGATATCTCATGCTTGCATTCCAAAAAGTTAACACTCAACAAGAAAGGAGGAGTAAGGGCATGGGCCTTACCGATAGGCGGGCAGCAAGTGACGTCGGTAGGCTGCGCCCAATAGGCACCGTCCCATTGATTCAGGGTTGTGCATCTTCAGGAACTTCTCTAATGTCAGCAAACCATAAAAAAATATTTTCATTACTTCCATAAAAACTGCTCAAAAAAGAGTAAGGGGGACTCACCTAAAGCAGAGCCCTTGAAGGAAGCAGTGGAGGTAGCGGTTTGAAAAATGCTCTGAAAGAGGAGGGGAAGAAGCTGAGAAGAGGAATGCCAGGAACCAGTGGAGAGAGTACTTTGTAAACCAGACGCACATCAATAGTGTTGATGAGAGGAGCGTTGGCTCTGGAGTTTGGATTGCAGCCGCGCGAGGGCAGAAGCCAGATAAACCGGATTAACACGAGTAAAACCTCATCCGGATTGTCTAGTTGGCTGGTAAGGGGTGAAAAAGGTGAATAAACATAAATTACTCACTCCACTCACTTAGTTACAAGAGAAAGATTTTCCTAATTAAAGTACTCCGTGGTACGATATCGTAAATATTCCAAAACAGTCAGTTTTTCATTTAATGATGTCATATGAGAGATCATAAATGTATTTCAAAAGCTTAATGTAAACCTTAACATCACGCACAATTGGGATATTTCATGTACCCTTTTAAGAGTTACGTCTACAGGCTTTATAAAGTGGTCCATTTGCTTTGACGATGATTTATTTGATAACTGAGTGGGGGATAAAACGATCGAAATACATCTGGGGAAATGCATTGCTTGTGTGATTTATGAGATATCATGTTAAAAAAAACCGAAAGGGATGGACAGGTGGGTGATGAATTACCACGACAAACTTCTTGGCAACCACAATCAAGAGCTTTGCTTTGATTGATGCAAAAATTAAGGAAAACCCTGACACGATTACCAAAAGATGGGTAATTTTGTTTCGGATTGCGATCCCCGTCCAACTCAGTTGAACACGAGAAAATGAGACATATGATAAAACTTAATGGCTCATACATCCTCCCAAAGACGCCGCAATATGAGGCAGCAAATTCGGAATAATAACATATCCAACAGACACAAACCGACGGGCATGTTTAAGTCCCAAAAACTTATGTGTCGGGTGCACGTTGTAAATATGAGTTGAAGGAACGTCATCGACATCACCTCAATACTAAGTCTGACCCAACTCTACCATGACCAAAAAAGTTGTCCTACAATTAATCAAATCCATATGCGTACACGGTAATACTATAGACCTGTTCAGGAATAAGCAGGATCTAAGTGAACAAGTTTCATGACAGCCTTCTATCCGTCAAAGTGTGCGTCTACCCAACTGTTAGAGGAGCATGAAAGCAGGCTCCTTGTCGTGAAAAATTCACCAATTTTTCGATTATAGAAAAGGAGTTTATAATAAGAACCTTGAAAATATGTGTGCGGTGGAAGCGCTCACCATCTGCTGCAGCACCAGCAGTAGCAGCAGAAAAAAACATCAAGAAGTCACAAGTGCGAGGTAATGTGGAATGCCTCAAAGAGAAATGAGCCAAGCAAGTGGTGCTACAAAGCAAATCAAGAATTGCTAATGTGTGAGCACGGAAACGTTAGGTTTCCAATCAAAAAAGGGAAGAATGGAGACTTTCAAAGAACAGAGACTCCAATTTCGTATTTCCAAACTCATCCTTCTCATTGCATGGGTACGTGCATGGCCTTCGGAGCATTGGAGACTATTCCTCCCGTACTTTCTTCTCAATTGCCTTGGGATAGAAAATGAGATCAACACACATGAAGCGTATCCCCACGCAATATTGACCAAACAGAGGGAAATCAACCACAGCACGAATTGTGATTGCTCCTAGAAGAAAGTGCCAAGAAAGAGTCACATAAAAACTCCTGAAGCATCAAGGTGGGAGCGTTCTTCTGAGGTTCTCAATGTTCTAAACAAGAGAACACAAACGACACATAAGGGGATCAATTAGATTCATGTAGTCTTCATGATAACTAAATAACCGCAGAAAGCTTTAAATACTTAAATCATTGAAATAATGGCCGTTGCAATCCATTATCACTTCCCAGTACAATACAAGCTTGCCAAGTTTACATTTATAAAACGCCTTGGCCCTGGAAGTCAGAAAAAATCTAGCCCCAGCTACCTTCATCCTCCATTTGTCTATTCTACTCTTTAATGGTAATGCCGGTTAAAACGATAATCGTTTCCTGAAAAACACTATCAGGGGAACTCGAAGGATGGGGTGAGCCATGTCTCCCTTCTCCCGTCCTAAACTCCAGATCTCACATATCCCTCCATTTTACTGACCGAACCTGCCAGTTTCTCAAGAAATTCTTCTTGGTAGATAGGATTCAGGCGTAATTACAGCTTTGCCTTCAGTAGGTAAACAATCAATAGCACAAAAACTCATCAGCAGTCCACCACAAACACAATGTCGAGCAGTGCGTGTCCTAGAAGTGTGGGCTGGGTAGTGAGTGAATAGTTAAAGGATAACCAATATGCTATGATGCGATGCATTTGTCGCTCAACCAATGTTCCAATGCATTCAAAAGCTATTTCGCATCACAAATCAGCAAGAAACCTTCTCGTCCACTGTTAAAGCCTGGCAAGCGGATGATAGCCTTTTGTTGAGCTACCACCACGACTTCCCCTTCATATATGATGTAGCCATGAACCAAATGATTCAGTACTCACTGCGCAAATCGTTACTAAAAGTAAATGGGACCATGTGGCGCATCTTGGCTATTAAGAACAGAGGGCCTTCCCGAACGTAACAGTTCATCATCTGGCGGTGATCCACAGGAATCATGTCTAAGCCGTGTGCTCTGACACCGCATCTTGCCCAAATGCTATGAATTAAATACGACATTCTATGGGGATTCAAAATAACAAAAAAGTGGTAGAGGGAGGGATGAAGACTATCAATGCCTCATAAATCATGTAAACAATCGCATTCTACAGGTCTCCACAGCTTGCACTGAGCCATTTCAGTGAGCTATACCGAAGGACACATGAATACTTTGGTAACCTTATTCTTGTAATTGACAGCCGAACAAACGCCGAGCTAATGGTCTAGACTTGTCACCCTAATTTCCGCTTTCTATGATAATTCCAAACACTTTAAGAGAAAGATTGCCTGTACTGCTGATGCAGACTTTTGTGCACCAGATCGGGCATTTGACACAAGCACAATCAATTTTAGCCATGAAAGATTCACAAGACAAGGATGACTACGGTTTTGGTAGAGATAAATTCCAAGGAAATGCATGAAAATATCACTGAAAAAGACTTTAAGCCTGCTGATACAAATAGAAACAAGTCTGGTTTGCCTCTCAAGGAGGGTTTCACAAAAACCCTGGAGTTGGCTTCAGCGATTGGCAAATGAGTGTTGCCAGAAGGTGAAGATGACTTGGAAAGGTGCAAAACCAATTTCAATGATGATGTCCGAACATGGCTTTCAGAGGGAGGGGAAAGGGAGAGAAATAGAAAAAAAAACACAAGATTCTTACGCCATAAACAGAAGAAAAACCAGTTAATTAGGCTTACATTTAAAAGAGTCCTCTCACAACAGCAGCAAACAGCACCAAACACAACGAAAAGGAGAAAAAAATGATGACACTGGTACGAATGAAAAGTTGGGAGGTAGGGATATTAAAGTCGTATCCACGATGTCTAGGCTAAGAGGAACAGCCGGAAACACAAGAACCGTAAGTAAACTCAAGCCAAAAACGGAGAAGGGGACGAGTGTGGTGCGGGACGGATCTATGAAAACAAGCACTTTTGAGGAGAAAAATGGCGATAATAACAAGTTGATACGATGTTAAAAATTGCAACGTGAAAGAAGACAGGCAGAAATGAAGTAACCACGAAACCACAAGCCTCTATAAAGGAAGTAGTCAAGGGATTGCTCACGAGGCGTCACGAAGAGCGTTAAGGAGGATGGGTCGGCAGTGCTGCAGCCCGTCGTCATCGGTGAGAAGAGAGGCATCAGAGGCAGCGTCCTCAGAGTGTGCCAACATCAGTGCGTTTTCATAGCGTCGCAGCAGGCCCTCCACACTGGCGCTGGTGGCGGTTGAACCCACTTTAAGCGCTTCGGGGGTTGCCGCTGCCTTTGCCTCCGCCGCGGCAACAGCTAACTCCACCACCGGAAGGTAGTCGTAGCGTTTGCGTTGGCACAGAATGCTACAATGGAGGTGGTTCATTTGGGGGGTTAGTTTACAAAGACTGAACTGCCTAATGGATGCAGATACTATGATTGTCTGACTTGATGACGGAGGGCAATACGGAAAAGCCGCTATTAGATGAGGTCAAAAGGTGGTGCAAAGTACCTTAATCCGAAAACAGGAGGAATGATTCACCCGGAATGTAAATGGATAAGACAGCAGCTGGATGCAAAATAGCTTCCATTTGCTTTTACGCTTGCAAATAATTCTGCAATAGGCAAATTTACAAAAAGCTATTTTAAACCTCAACAGTCTCAACTAACTTAAAAACAGCTCTGGGAATAGCCTGAAAGGGCTCCGCACTCTTTATCAGCTTGTCCACGTCCGGTGTGTTTAAGTTCAATGCGACGTCAATGAGAGACATTTGGATCAGCTTAATCTCCTCCTAAAACAGGCAACAAAACGAGTCAACGCCCAAAAAAGCGTAGAAGAGAGAAAGCACTTCAACCTACAGCCTGTTTTTGGCACAGAAATAGGTCCATTAGTAGCTGCCGTCCCGCCTCCGAGGTGCTTGTGGCCAGAATCATCTGAAGACTCGGAAAGTCCCTGCTCTTACTGAAGAAGCAGAGAATTGAGATAAGAGGGAAGGAGGCAAAGGTGGGTACCTGAGCCGGCGCCAGTCCACGAGAGTGTGTCCCTCCTCAGAGCAGGGCAATCGCGTGAAAATCTGGTCAACAATGCTCGCGGAGCGCAGATAGGCATTTACCGCGCTGATTGGGTCCCATTGCCACACATTGTCGATGCATATCACAGTTGCAGACCCGTTGGTCACTTTCTGGTATAAAGGAAACACTCATTTGTCTCCAGGTGGGGAGAACAAATAAAGGACAATTGGTTAAACGTTCTGCCTTTTCTGCTGTATAAGTGTGCAAAGTTAGCTGGTGAAAGATGTTCAAGGTAAGTCGGGACCTTTGGGTAAAAAATGAGCAAACTTCGAGGAGTGCAGAATACACTTATTTTTCGACATAATCAGCTGCTACACTTAAAACCTATTCTAGCATCTAACTAACACCCGGCACAAAAAATAGTCCAAATAAAGCATCTTGGTCAGGGAAAGAAAACTGTCTCAGTAATGAGCATGCGACAGCTTTTCGAAATTGCAAATATTCAAAAATGATTGTGCTGCTTTCACCGTTCCACAGGAAACAGATTCAGCTCATGTCCAACATTAGGGTGGATTGGGTGCCCAACAGGCGTTCCATAAGCTAGCTGAATGCTCACAGGAATGGTCATCGAAGCTGAGTTGGGAACGGAGCTTCCAAAGCCTGGGTCACCACTGACGGAACGACCCTGGAGCCAGTTTCTAAACTGCAACACCATTCCAAAATCCTACTACTAAGCGGGTAAGCATCCTATCACAGTACTATGCTTGAAGTCCCCTGTACAAATGGGTAATCAGGAGTTTTGAGGTGATTTATTATTCACAAACCATTTCGTGCATCACTACGCGCTTTTCGTGCATGCACTGTAACTGGTGCCTGTCATTCTAAGTAACGGCATCTGGATCCGACTGACTCAAGATGCACATGAGTCACTCGCAAAAGATACGCATGTTTTTATGCGCCTTGAAAGGGAGGAACAAGTTGAATTGACTACTGATTATTAAGAATTTTTCAAATTACTCAAGAGTGAGTGGAAAATGGATTCCCTCCCTAAATACGAGCGTGTTCGATTCAAAGAACGAAAATGCAGAAAAATGTCCAAAATTTAACGGAACCTGCCATTACAACACAGGAAGCATGAAAAGAAGTATAAAAACACTTACACACGAAGTATGGGAAAAATTACGTAGGCTAATCACTTTAGTTAAGTATACGAGGTCTATGGTACTCATAAAGAGGGTGACCGCAAATGGAGCTTGAAAAAACAGAGGAGAAATTGCAAGATATGTGAGAACAAAAGTTACAAGCCCCCAGAATGAGGTATAAAAAATAGTAAGCTGCGGTAAAGAATATACAGCCCCAAGCAACCCATCATTGCAAATAGTACAATGGATCTTATTCGATTAAAAGCATGCTAAAGTGATTCAGCATCTAAAACTGCGATGCTGAAACTCTAGCCCAAAATTTGAGGTCTGCTATTAACGATAATGAAATGAACGGAAAGACGTACTAAGGGCTCAAATGCATCTTGGCGTCGTTTAGAATCAACAAGTTGGTCGGCCAACAACGAATCTGGAAAAAAGGAGTATACCTCTGGAGCGACTTCCAACTTCTTGATGAGGCGGTTGACCAAATCACAAAATGAAGTAATGGAATCCTGGCGAAGTTCACACAACCACGGCGAAAAGAGTGCAGAACTAAACTCAGTGCCAGAAAGAGATTTTGTCACACGCATTAATGGCTTCTGGTGGACCGAAGGCATCCCTTTTGTTCCCGTTTTCAATCAAAAGGGCTAGGAAGAGTACGAAAAAACACTGCGATCAAAACAATGAGGTTCTTTGCACCTAGCTGATATGGCGTCTATAACTTTGGACAGCAGATGAATAAAACGGAAAAGTGAGAGTAGATGGCAGAGTACATAGGTCTGCCCAATTTCACAGTTGAAAAAGCAGTCTTAATAATCCTAGCCAAGGCTGTACGCACTAAATACCAGCCTTCAGGCAGAAAACGAGTGATAAGTATTAAGGAGCGCACTTATGGTCAAGATAGAACAGGTAGAGGAGTAAGTGGTGTAATGATAAGAAGAAAGGATGAAAAACATTAATATGTCATAAAAGCGAATATCAGAACCTCCAAGCAAATCCTTACTGCATTGCCATACATAAAGCAGGTCCCAAATGACCCTGAAGTTCGGAGCCTACGTGATTAGGCCTATAAATTAACAAGTGAACCAAAAGGATATAGCCGGCAATAAAGCAAATTCAAAAATTTTAAAATTATGCTGCTTAAAAGCGGAAGGTCGCTTTAATGAGAAATAAAAACTTTGGACAAGGCGGAACTGGAGTACTTTATGTTATGTAACAATTTAAAGATGTTCGTTATCATTTCATTTCTACGGTTGTTTACTGCGCCTGCGCAAGAGCACAGAATTTACTAAAAGAAGGCGTATAAGAAACATCATGACAATGTTTTCGTTCCTCTCATTAACCTCCGGCTTCAAAGCCTTTGTTCAACATAACTAATTTCCATAGTGCATAACCCATTGTTAAGGTGAGAGTTCGAGTAGGATGTGGAGGTCTCACTAGAAATAGAGGACTGTTTTTTCTTCGATGGGGGTTGGTTTCGGTGAAATCACGATGGTAGTTTAACTGAGCCTGTTGTGGATTAGAAAGGTGTGGTAGAACAAACATATCTGCAGCGTCCCGAGACTTCCCTGAAGAAGACCCATTACTCAGGCAGAATACACATATTTAGCACGGAGAAGATGTTTGGGCTACTGGCCTGGCCCGAAGGCCAGCCCATCCAGCAAAGTACAAGAGGGCTAATTCCTAATACAAGAGCGGCGCCTCACCAATACCAAGGGATGAACCATTATCGCGTTACATAGCCTCCCTCCTCTTTTGGGGGTTGTCCCTGGCGCTCCCTCAGGTCAGCCTCCCGCGTCAGCCATTACAACGTAGTCGGTGCGATCCGACCGTGCCAGTTACCAAACTAGCGTGCAACTGAGGCGATACTTGACCTCAATGTCACTGATCCCTCTTGGCAGCTTGACTGAATCTGGAGTTTCGTCTGGTTTGGGAACTTGATTCACTACGGGGAATTGCGCTGGCCATCATGCGTGTCCATGAATGGATGTAGGAACACTGGACTAAAAGTAGATTTGTGTAAGAAAGGATGGGATTTGATACAAGTTCATGGGGAACGGTAGGGAAAGTCCGTAACAAAACTTCCGGATGGTTCACAGCTAGTGTCGCTTCAGTTGTTAATAGCTTTGTTGCAGAACACGTCAACTTCAACCCTTCTATTAGGAGCCATCACCATTCTCCCATCATTAGCATATGTACTTCTTCCGCTCCATTAAGGTTTATCACACAGAAGTGAAAAACAGGATACTTGCCCTTTAGGATCGGGTTCGCTTTCCGCTGCAACCAATGTAGCGTCCTGAGACTCGCTGAAGACGAAAAAAGACACGATATTAGGGCAGAATATATATTTAGCGCAGAGAAGGTGTTTAGGCTGCTGGCACGGCCCGAAGGCCAGCCCACCCAAAGAGGTACAAGGGGGCTGATTCAAAAGGACAAAAGTAGCGCCTTACCAATACTGAGGAATGAGCCACCATTGTATTGCAGATCGCTGTAAATCTCATCAGAGTAGGGAGAGATTCCGAAGTGTTGATTACCCACCAGAATGCAAATATGTGCCACTGAATGTCAAGCTAATAGTATATTGTAATACTTATGTTGTTTTAATGTACCTTTCAAGGAGGAGGCAAGTAGGAAATTCGAATCTCGTGACTGAATCGTCCTCTCTCGCACTTAGTGACTGCGGTTCCCCTCCTTCTTGGACGTTGTATTTTCCCTCTCCATCTTTCCATCTCTAATAAATATGTCCAAAATGAATCAATTGGGCTTGTCTAAGAACGCTAGGAGTAGGGAAGCGGAGACCGATGAGTCTCGCTCCACAATATATTATTATGTAGTCACGTTTAAACTGATAAAAGCAAAATATTACTGAAAGCGGTAATTATTGCAAATTGTCTCAAATCCAAATCCTTATCGAAAGAAAAAAGGTACACCTAGATCTATATGTTGAAACAACGCTAAATTTAAAATAATGCTAAATATGTAAAAGAAGCGGCCGTTTAACAAATTTAGTCCGGGTGATTTTAAAGGCCATTCACGAGAACTAATAGGAAATTTATGGCAAACATTAACGGTTATCCTCCCCTTCATGAGCCAATGCATTCGGAATGCTAATCGCGGCCTATGAAAAGAAAATAACTAAGTGAGTTATAGCTTGCAAGCCTGCATGATATAACCACATCATCTCATTCTCACTAGCTTAAACGTACAATGCGGGCAGAGACAGAATCGGGCAGAAGGCGATTCAAGCAGAGAATCGCCTTCATTCTACGTGTTGTATCTACCGTGGTTAGCGCGGCGAACAGCCAGTTTTACAGGGAAGCAGTTTTTGCAGCACTAGCGACGACGCGAGGACCACGCAGAAACTCAAAAGTGGAAACAATGGCAACTTTGGGAGTACGTTCAGTAATAAAAGCAATAATAACAAAATACAAAAAGAGAGGGAAAGGGAGAAAAGCAATGCAAAAGGGGGCAAGAGTTATGGTTTGGGGTTTATGCTGTAGTAGTCCAAAATATCAGAAATCAAACAATTTGTCATTTAAAATTAATCAAAACCGTATTAACAACAGTAACATCGTGCACATGGCTTAATTCTTACTTTATGAATGGATCCTCTGCTAAATCTAGGCAAGTGTTTGAGATCTCTTGCCTATTTGAAGGTCAAAATTTAATCAACCAACCCTGCACACAGGCATTAGGCCAGCTCAGGGCATGATAGACGTAACCCCAAAGCGAGAAGAGGTTGGCTTTAGGAAACAGCTCAGGTAATGATCTTTGTTTTCCTCTTCACACCGACTGATATCATAGATCACCTAGCTAATACGGAAGCCAAATCATTTGTATACAGCGGCGGGTACTGCTTTGCCAAGTTTGTTTGTATCGCACTTGTAAACTAGCTTTAATTTGCATTGCTTTCACATTTTCTATGTCAACCCGGGGGCTGTATTTGAGTGCAATGTTTAGCTGGAAAAGAAGGAATAATTCAGAACTTTCATAAAAACAACGAAAATCTGCACTGCGTTCGCATTGCAAGCCTCTTCAGTCTTCAGCCATTTGACTCTCCGGACTAGTAGCGCGTAACTTTACCCCACAAGCCCCCAAATTGCTTTCAAATGCATATGCTTATAGTGCAAAAATGAACGACGGGAATTCCCCACCTAGTGGAGGTTCAGTAACAAGATAGCTATCAATACTACCGAAAGAGATCCGCTTAACCTGCCTGTAAGCTTAATCCTTGGAAAATGAAACTGGTGCTTAAAGTGGATCTCAATTTACTTCAATCCAGAGGGTATAGACCAAAATGTGCAGCTTACTTTTGAAATACTAACAATGCTTTGCTCGCAATGTGACTCTTTACATTGCATCATAGTAGTCAGAGCCAACGCATCAGCCATCTCCGGACATCACTACTCCTCTCCCGACTTGGCTCGACGCTTAGATGCCATTGCCAACAGTCAATAGCGAAAACAAATATTATTAGTACCTCAATAAGTGAGAGAAACTGCAAATGGAAGTAGGAATTCGAGAAACGGGGAGTGAGTGCAAATCTCTAAAAGCTGAAATACAGCATGGAGCACAAAGGCAACGCCAATCTTGGTCATCGGTAAAGGAGGCGGCAAGGAGAGCCATTTGATGATATCCCGTGTCATAAACAAAATTCAACTCATTTGCCAAAAGTGAGATTGGAAAAGCCCAAAGTTGTTGCATCTTGATATGTTAAACCAACAGGTGCTTGTAAAATCTCGTGGATCGGGGCAGCCATTTACACTTACCAGCTTAAACACAAGAAGGAAGGGGAACACGTAATCGAGCTAAAAGACAGTCGATGTTGAAAAGCTGTGCTTATTCGGTTTAACACATCCCAAGAATACAGCAGCTGAACAGGGGCAAAAGGAAATCTCACAGTCAGGCTAGTAAACCGCTCCTACAAGGCA